GAGTTGAGATTATGTTACTGCAAAGGCCATAGCATATGACTCGGATCATTTTCATACTCAAACTATTCACTGACCCCTCGGGCCCTATGAATGGGAATATTGTAATCCTGGAAGAGACCACTCATTTATTCAGGTTTTTCCCTTTAATTTGACACACATCTGTATATTCATTGGGATTTTAAACAAATCCGCTCTGTTTTTCCACACAATTTAAACTCTTCTTGGTCCTGAACTAGAACCACACAGTCAGATGAGAATGTACATAAGATCTCGCAGACCTCCTGGTCCAGTGATGATTTATCTCATTTACTACTGTTCTGCATGCACAGCAGATGACTAAAACGTATATTCTAATGCATTCATTATAGATGGGGGAATTGTTTAAAGCCTGTCTGGTTGTCTGACCATTGGTGTTTTGCCCTATTGACCTCTCAGGTACTGCTGATAGGCAGATTTCATCAAGAAGTTGGTGGCTGAATGTTAACATAGCTCATAAATCACTTTATTCTCTCAGTAACTCATTGTTAAAGAACTAAATTTCAAGTAATGTTATAGTTTCTCCTTCACTAATTGTGTCAACAATGTATGGTGTAAATCCCTTGTGCAGCTGCTGTGCCCAGTATATTAAAGCAATTCTGCCAGATAATAATGAAAAATGATTTATAAGAATGCATGCATGATTGTAGTGGTTCTTTCATTCTTTTGAATAAACTATCAATCAACCTTCTATGAAAATGTGCTTACCATGTACAGCAGAAAGGGGAAGGCCAGGAGAAATATCCAAAGGTAGAGGTGGAAGCAGTTGGAGAACGTGCTCTGATGTGGGTCCACATACCAGCCTCCCGTCAGTGAAGCCCACACACCCTGCCGCAAAATCTGAAGAGCTTGGGAACCCATCTCTACCTCCAGGTTCAACCAAATGCTGAAATGTTTCCTCCAAAGCTGTAGCTCAGAAAACTCTACAGCAGGTCAAGCCACAGTATCTTGTGTCTGTGATGGCACTTACATTGGGGATGGCAGGTTAACCAAACCTGTTTCATCAAGGAAAATAGTTCCGTCTCTTGGATATGTATACGTCAGTTGAGGTCAAGGATCCTTGCATATTCTTGTGCCAGCATGTGCTCCCTCCTTGCACCGATGCTGCCACACTCCAGCCCAATCCTTGTTGGGTAATCAGGAGAGTGACTTTTTGGCACATTGGTAACCCACTGAATGTATGAAAAAACATGTAAGAAAGACCAAAACTGGTTTGTTTTCTTATATGATGCTACAGTTTAAACATTACATTCAGTGGAGAACAATGAATGCTAAATAAATGACATTACACTGAAAAATAAAATTAATGAAAATTTAAAAAAAAAATGCTGTAATACATATCAGTAGTGGAAATAAGTGTCTTCAAGTGCCTTCCTTCAAGTGTACTTCCTTACATTCCTTATAATCATCATGAAACCATACAGCTTCTTCCTCGATTTCCAGTTGGTCTTGAATAAATTTTGCAAAAGGTCACAAGATAAATAGGCCTACATTTGTGCTGAGTCAGACAGTAAACCTGATCATTTATCATTCATATTTTCTACATGGGATCGCAGTAACTTGGATATCATTTCAGCAGCTACAAATATTAGCAATGGGGAGAATAACACAACTGACACTGGCACGCACTACAATTTTTTTTTTTAAATATTTGTCATTGTCTTTTAACTCAATCCAAAGCAACAGGGAATCCACGTACGGTATGTTATACAGATTTCAGACAAAATGACATGTCCAGGCCAATGCTGTGCCAGGCACATGAAGTTTTCCGATTGACATTACGAAGCTAACAGATAACTTAGCCTAACGTTAGCTTACAATTATCTGCACTTACGAGCGATAAAATGGACCTGTTCAGCTACCAATGATTTCTTTAACCTCGGTCAATATAAAACCATTACCGTCAGCAGTAGCACAGTACTACATAGTAGCTGACAAACGTTAAACATCATTAGGTTACTAGACGCTAGTCACCGGCTAATGCTAGGCCGCATATATTAGCTTTTCGAACTGGGTTATGTTCCTATCGTTAGCTGAGTGAATGTAACGCCAGCCCACAACAAGTTAGCTTAACGGCTGGTCGCTACGTGAATATTAGTTGCCTGTCACTGGCTAATATTATCTTAGAGTGACAGATTTGATTATTGTGCTCACAGTGAAATGTTTTCCAGATTTGGATCCCAGCATATCTTACAATTAGCATTAGCTGTCCAGCTTGCCTCATATCCTCCTTCCGCATCCAGTCCTTGCAAAATCTCAGGGCTTTCCTTCTCAGGATGCTAATGAGCAAGGCAGTCGTGTGTCCAAGAACTGTAACGTTAGCTTCACTTCTTGTTGGCGTTGGCTAACTTGTCATTGTTTTCTGAAAGTCCTTCATTTTCATCGGCATCAAAGGTTGACAGACACGCAAAGGGAGCTGAAGTCCTCTATTATGATGAACAACAATTGTTTCTTGGCATAAGCTCCATCTATGTTAAAATGTTACAACAAGCTAGCTGAGTAGCTAGCTCCAGCTAACAACTAGTTGACACCATGGATGTAGAAGGACGGACGCACGCATGGACGAACGCACGCACGCACAGAGAGAGAGAGAGGGAGGGAGGGAGGGAGAGAGAGAAAGATTCCCATAGCGCTGATTGGCCGTATGCCGTGACGTCACGGGGACAGTAATTTTAAATTATCAAGACAACACAATCATACGCAGCACTGTGCATAAGTTTAAAGTTTAGTTTAGTAAAAGTTTTTAAAGCTAAAGTGAAGATAATAATACCATAAATAGTCTTTATTTATCAATCATCTTCATACAAAGTGCAGCAAACAGAAAAACCCATATCAAATCAATGTTTGATGTCACCACTCTTTGCCTTACTTCTGAACCGTTTTTCAAGGTGCTTGGCCTGTAAGTTGTTTCAGCATCTGGGATAACCTGCCACAATTCTTAGGTTGTCTCAGTGTCTTCTGTCTGTTCATGTGCTGGCAGAGTGACTCCACGATGATGAGGTCGGGGCTTCTTGTTACTGAAGACAGTTATTTATTACTCTGGCTGTATTACTGCAGAGGGACTTTAGGACAGATTAATCACCTTCCTAATGATAGATAAGAATAGAGGCTAAACATCTAAAGTGCCTAAAAAGCTTGCACCCTAGGCTAATGTGTGTTATATATATTTTATTTATTTATTTATTTATTTATTTATTTATTTTTTAATAAAAAAATGTCAGTTAAGTAACAGAGAAAGCAGTTATATTGATATTACAAACAAACAAATGAATGAATGAACAAATAAATACTGCTCATAAAATACATGGCTATTTGCACATTTGGCACTAGCACGAGCTGGTTTTTTTGAATGTAGTTAAACCTGAGTGGTGTGAGGCACGTGGGTGTGTACAACACCTACTATGTCTTGTGTAAGGAAATTTCCTTTCTGACCTCTGGTTAATGTAAATCAGATAATCACATTATTTATTTTTTATTCAAGCTTTCTATTCTGGCATATACTGTACCTCAAACAAGATGCCCTACTATTTCTCTGATATTTGTGTGCAAGAAATCTGTGTGCAGTGAAAATAGTACATGGGCTAACATAATCTGGGATTACATCTGGGAGATTGTAATTGAATGTTTAGGAAATGTAAAAATGATTTAAAGAATTTAGATTCAACAATGTATTTTAATTTGCAATTACCTTGAACCTAAAGTACAGTACTTACAAATAGCTGTAAAACAGAGCACAAGCTCTGAAATAAGGGAAAACTATAGGGCAATACTTAACGATTTGAAGAAAAACTGGCCTTGAAGTTGGAGAACACAGGAGTGGATTAGACATACAGTAGCAGTTGTCATCTGGGCTTTTATTTCCACCTATTTGGTTGAGTTAGGCTAATGATCTCTCAGCAATGCTAAGCAGAGACTTGTTGTATCTTCTAGCCACCCTCCTTGATACCTAATGTCAGCACAGATCAGACTTTGCCTACACTTGTAATGTACAGTAGTGACACCACACCTTGCTCAGCCCACAGGATTATTTCCCATCTGACCTCCCCCAGTTTAAACTAAAATCTCTCTAATTTCTTGTCTTTTGTGAGAATCCTCTTCTGCTTTCTGAAAAAAATTTGATGAGGGCAACTATAACCCCTTCATTAAACCACACTGGTGCTGTAGACCTCTGAGCTAATCTTTCTCTCCATTCCACAGTTCCTTATGTTCTCAGCAGGGGGTAGTCAAACAACACAAAATGTGTTAGTGTTAACAAGCATACAACAGATTATTGTGTTTATTCAAGAGAGCATCGAAGGTGTTATGGCTGAAGGTGTGATTTTTACTAAAAATAATCATCATGTCAGCAGATTAATCAGTGTGGAGGGCAGGACCACTGATTTTGGATAACAAGATATGCACTTGACACAAATTCTACTGTTAAAAATGACTGTAGTAATATAAAATAAGCACTCAGGAGAAAGACTGAATGATGTGCTATAGCCTGGTGTTAGAAAATAACTTAAGTTACAAAAAATATTGCCAATGTCACGAGTTTGCTCTATGTATGTAGACTTGCTCTACATATTAAAAGAGTATTCCTGCCATTTACTACTGCACAAATTTGGGGGACTTAGAAGCATCAATGCAGCAGAGGTGAACATTTTCTGACTTTTAGTCCCCTAATATGTGTCAAGCTCACAAAAGGTGGATCCTTCATTACTCATAATCCAATGTAATAGCGTCTTTTGAGAATACTCCATGCCTGGTAGATGCCACATCTTTCACACTATGTCACAAGTTTGTCATACATGCACTCTCTTTAAAAATTGTATTACCTTCAACTAAGGTCATGAGCTATTAATTACATTTTGGTGTGAATCACCAGTGACCCTAACTGGTTCAACTGGTTTAACATTTTGTTTTATTTAAGCTTTATGTGTCCAGATTAGCCTCACTGCAATCAAGGAGTTCTGTTTCAATGGAGACCTGAACTAAACAGCAGCAGCAGTGTAAGGTGCAGAAAACACACATTTTATTATAAATAATGGACATCAAGTCATTACTAACTGCACTGTACAAGAAAGAGAGAGAGGAGGAGAGTGAAGGAGTAGAAGATGATGAAACTCAAGTGTAAGACAAATTTTTATCATGACTGGCAATTTGTGTGAAACACTGTTTCTTCATGTTAAATGTGTTAACTTATCTTGCTAGCAAAATGTGCCCTTTGTAAGATTACATAATATTTTGAATTGTTTCTTTTATCCCAAAAGATTTATAATTCCCAAAGCCTAATCGCCAGTAACTAGATCAGTACAATGTGTGACTGTGAGAGGGTCACTTGTATTCACATATATTTTGATGTATACCATAATTGTTGCCTAATTCATGTCACTCTTAGTTCAATCCAAATTCTATAGCGTCTGTGTCCAGTGATAAAAAGTCAAATAAAATGCATTTTCTATGTGAATCTACAAGAAGCAGCACACAACACAGATGTGTACAAAGTATATAATCAAGTGTATTTTTGTCTTTATCCACGTTCTGTACACATATTAAGATCCATTTCACATGAACACTATACAATAGCAATGAGTGAGGAATGGAATATTTTCTGAAGGCTGAGCAGGTCATGTTGAATGGCACTTTCATTAAATAAAAAAAAAAAAAACAACAGGAAATCACAGAGTATGAATAAGTATTTTAAACATAAAAACAGCAGTTGTCAACAGAAAAATGGCTTTATATTATCAGATCCATTGAGTACCAGATTCAGCACATAAAATGCACAATGCGACAAAACAAAACATTTGTTCCATCCTTGTGTTTTCTCTGCATAATCTGAACCATAAATGCAAAAAAAAAAAAAGATATGTGCAGCTATCAGAGGAAAGTGTGCTTTTTGTCTGGATTTAATTAAAAGGTGATCTAGAATGTAATGTGTTAAGAGGAGTGGTAACAAGATACATCGAAATAGAGAAATATCAATACAGTTCACAAACCTTCAATTATTTATCTCATAGAATAGTCTTTTAGTAACTGATAGAAAAAAACAATACATGTTTGGCTGCTTTACAAGGATATATATCTATGTCTCAAAGATATGCTTACATTTTCTCTGTGCTTTTGAATTATCCCATGACAGTTCTGAGGAAGGAAAACCTCATGAGCCAGCCTCCGGTGAGGTGGGTTGGTTCTCCTTTTCCAAGAAACAACCGGAAAAACTTCTTTAAATGTTTTTCCAAAATTCCTGTGAAGTTCGGGCTGCAGTTTTGATGTCATTCTGAAAGCTGTTGAGGTGGGCCGAGTGTCTCTTATGCCGATTTTTCTTCATATCATTCCTCTGCGTACACAATGCTTTTTCAATCTGCTAACCTCTATATGTACATACAAGCAATGTTCACAGAGAAATACCTTCACTGACTGACCAACTTGTTCACAATTATCCCTACTTGGAATGGGATGGCACACTGACTCTGATATCTCATGTAAGTAATATTTCTGATCCATCATACTGTGTGATTCACTGGGTGGAGTCTGTTGAGTGATTTAATAATCTCATTTAAATGCTGTATTTTTCACCAGGAGAGTTAAATATCATGCTTTATTTATGATACAGCACCAGAAACATAATATCATCGCTTGCGGACAGAGTGACAGGGGAGTTTTAAAACCACATAACATAACGTGAAAGCTGCAGAGATGACGTCTTATCCAAATAAAGGCTTTCTTTTTTGAAAGCAGTCAGAAATAGAGGTGCTCTCTGCTCATCTACCGTAAAAATTCAATAACTGGCCTGTACCGCCTCATTTATCATAATGGGAACACTGAGACTTGAGATAGAGCGTTACAAAGAAGAACAAAAAATAACACTTAAGCAAATCTGTACGGATGTACTCAGCACTTTCTTCAGTGTACCATATCCATGCTATATACAAAGCCAAAGTGGATATGCCTGTTCTATATACCCATAGCCTGTAAAAAAAAAAACATAAAAAAAGATACACTAACAAAAAACCAGTGAGTGCATGTTGTAACACAGAGGATGAGTCTGATCTTGTGCAGTAGATGAAGATTTCATCAAGCTGGGCCTTGACTTTTGAGAACATGTAACTGTGAAAAGGAACATACAATTGCTTTGTGCAGTTTTTTTTTTAGCCTGTAAAATTTCTTTGATGGTCAACCTGACGAAAATAGGCTAACGAAACAAAAGCAACCTCTCTCATCCTCTTGTATCAGTCCACGCTTTCCGACTCTCCTTCTCCGTTTTCAGACGTAGTATTCTTTGTCTTTGTTCTTTTTGCCCTTTGTGATTGCCTTGGCCACAGAGGCCGTTGCTGTGTTTTTGTCTTTGACCACTGCTCCATTGCCTTCCACTGTGGAACTGTTGGCAAAATTGTGACTCTGGTCTGTCTGGTAGGAGCCCTCGTCTCGGTTGCGGTACTTGTACATGGCATAGAGGAGGATAAGAATGCAAAGAGCAGCAGCAGCCACAATACCAACAACCATCCCTGTGGTGCTACTGGACTCCCTGATCACCTCCACGGCACCGGGTTGGCTCTTTTCATCAGAGGCTGTGGGGTCGGCTGTGGGCATATGGGGAAAATTGGGGGGGTAAGTTAGTCCTGGTGTGTTTCGGGAGGAAGGAGGAGCGGGGGGCAGAAGCACCTGGTCACGGGTGTTCATTTTGCCTGCAGGGATGTGGAGCTGGTCAGGGTTAGTGGTGGGAACATAAGGAGGTACGGGGCGGGGTTTCTGGACCCCTCCCTCACCGGAAGCGGGAGGTGGAGGAAGGACTGTCCTGTCAGTGACCATAGGGGAGTTATTATTGTAAAAGTCCTCATCATCTGATTCTGTCATCTCCCCAGAGCCAAAGGCTGAGACCTCCACAGGGTCACCACAGTCCTCCTGGTCCGGGGGGCAGGAAGGGTGAGGAGGGAGTATCAGCGACTCTTTGGTGGTTTCAAGTGGGGATAGGAGTGTAGGAGGGGGAGGAATGACGGGATAACGGGTGGCAATGGATGGGGGCTCAAGGGAATCCACTGTAATAATAGGCAACACTAATTCACCTCCTAGAAAGAAAACAGAAAAGGTAGGGGATCCTAAATTAGAACAGCATTTAAACTGAAATTCTGGCTGTATAGCTGACTGCACTCATTAATGCAGAGTCGCAATCTGCTCATTATGTGGAGCATAACTGAGGAGCTAAACTAATATTAGCTGACTTATAAGGTTTATTATTTTTAGTGCAGTTTCCTACAGTACAATTTTATTTACATCAACATTTGCCACATGAGCAGAAAAACAAATTTAAACCCCCAAGACATTATTCTTGCATGATGTGTGCAGGTTTTATTCCTATATGGTTTCAATGTGTGGGTATGCAAATTCTTTATATTATGAGATAGAATACAGCAAAAACATAAAAGAGCTCACATGTAGACACAAACATACAAGGTGACCCATGAAAGGCAGCAGCTGAATGAAGAGCAAATAAACAGAGCACACAACAAACAAAAGAACAGTAAATTATATTGCCATGCTACTACTGTATGCACATCTGTAGGCAGGGGTGACAAGAGAAACAGGTTATTTTTTGTAGGAATCACATTAGGATTATTGTGGCTTGCTGAAAGCAACCGGTGTACCCTGTTTGTCTTGCATCATTATGTCTAGATTCCTCACCAAATAGCCTTCCAGTATATACTGTATATGAGCTCTCATGCCATGCACTGACATTTACCACCTCAGATCTGGCTCTGGGGTCAGAATGTCTTCTGGCTGTGGGGGAATATTTTTGTCTGCAGAGTTTGGTTATTTATGGCCACCAGATTCTCTTTCATCATTATTGGAGCCGCGCTTTGCAGGGCTAGTCAACAACAAACAATTCTGATAAGGTCATATTAATAATTGAGGGAACAATAATAAGGGCAGGCCTCTTCTTCAGTTCCACAGCTTGTTACTGTCACAAGCTCAGTCTGCTGTCTACTGTCATCCACTCTTAGTGGCTGCGGCACACTTCACAAAGACATTCAATCTACTTTAGTCAGTTACTGTGCAGACACGACTCAAAAGCTCATATACATTAATGCTAGCTGAGTCTGTAAAAGTGAACTAAATGTGGACAGCTGTTTAACAGAGCCCCGGAGGAAATTAGTGTATGTTAGCTGCAGAAATATGACAGAATTAAAATTTTAAAATCAATGATGGTTGTCTGGATAAGTGCTGTACTCTCATCTTTTCAGCCATGGGTGACCCACCTGTTCCTGGTTCACACTCTTCCAGGTCTTCGTCATCACTTGGACACTCAGCAGACGCCACTAGAATATCATCAGTGTTCTGCGGCTGAAAGCAAAATGGAGAAAATATGTTGTTGTTAAACACACACTCCCATCTTTTTGATTTGTGCTCACACTTTTGAGTGTGTTTGCTGGCTGACTGTCCCTTTTGAGGGGAAGCTGCGGCACTGTATCACTTTTGTGCATTTGCTCAGAGCAACACTATTAAGACTACAAATCCGAGATGTGCCCATATGTACACTTTCTACCTCACCCTTGTGGCTCACTTTATGTGTTTACAAGCAAAGCAAGAGCACTAGTGACAGAGAATAGATTCAAACAATAATTTAGTTTATTTACATGCCAAATGTTGTACTTTTTTTACATTCATTTTACAAAAACAAATTCTCACATGCTAAGCCAGTCCTTGAATATGTCTAAATAGGATTTTAGGGTGCCCAGTGGATTCAGAGCACCTGAGCAGAGTAGGGAATGGATGGTGCACTAATGGATTACTTTGTTAAATTGACAATCCAGAAAAGGCAATTTTAGGGGAACTGAGAAATATAATGAAAATGCACTCTGTATTTTTATTAGGCAAGGCAAGAGGATTTTTATTTGAAACCTCACTCCAGGCACTGCTGAAATCCTTCCAATCTGGCAGGTTTACAACATTTGGATTAAAATCAAGTCATGTAAAATGGTGGTTGGTAATGTCCACCAGTCTGAATGTATCATTGTGACTCCACAATGTGTGAAAATCAGCTCAATAAAAGCCTTTTTTACATCGCTGTACTTGTTAAAAAAATACATATTGAAGCATGGATGTTATTGTTATTCTAACACACTTGGAAATAATGTGAATTATTAGATGAATTAAAAATCAGATATGTTGGACCAAACCTGCTGTAAGAAGACCAGTGCATAATTATTTTATTTAGAATTGTATATTAGTTATTATTTTCTATGTATAATGCATTTGATTTTAATGATTTCATTAGATTAGAACCCTCTGAGTCTCCAGTGAAGATGGGTGTTGCAGTTAAAGATATATACAACCTGTGTGTAATACAGATTTTTATTGCATTTCAAAAGCGGTAATTATTGCTTGAGATGCTTATGTGGTGTATTTTTATTTCAGGCTTTAACAGCAATTAATGTCATGATCACTAATAAAAAAAAACAGTATGTGCATGTTCTAGTCAACCCTTGCACAATATACAATGTTTATCTTCTACTCTGACTTAGCTCTTCAAAGCTGAACAACCTTAAAATCAGAAAAAAGCCTTTTTTCCTTTAAAGAAAAAAAAAAGCTTTTTATTGAAAGAAATACGGCTTATTTTTTCTCGAATTTAAAGGCCATAGCTGTAGCATGTGGCAAACCAAGGAATCAGCTGTGTTGTATGCTTGTCCTTGGTTATGTGATTGTGTTCTTTCATTTACTTAGATTGACACAGCAGATTGTAGTACTATGTGGTAAATTTCATTTAACACAACATAAATGGCGAAACCTCAAACTGAATGTGAAATGTAAAACTGGGCCAGAATAAGCAAAGGAGAGCCATCTGTGTTATTTTAGAGCTGAAGAAAAAGTTACACTACTATTAGTTGTCATCTTTGGCCTGTCCCAGGGTTGGAAATGAAATCAAACATATCACTTAAGACCATGAGGTATACAAACAACATAGTGCTGTAAATACGTTTAGTTAATAAAAAAAAAAAATTAAGTTTAACAGAATGACCAAATGACACCTAATATAAGGGATGAGATGTATATCATAGAAACAAGCCAGCAGATGTTTCTTATTCACATTATTATAATAATTATTAATTCTTTAAGTCTACACAATGTTTAGAATGATTTTCAAGACTAGAAAAACTGATGTCATTTCCTAAAAATGTCTAATTAAAAATCGGATATACTTTGATTCCTAACACAGCATGTTGTATTGATTTCCTTCTCTTATTGAACCACGACAAAACCGCCCCCTGGAAAAATTGTGACAACAGCCCTAAACCTTTCATGGTAGTAAATTAAAACTATTCATTTATACTTTCTGACCTTGGAGATGCTCTCCCTCAAGCTGGGTGACCGCGGCCTGCGGGTAGTGGTGGTAGCCCTAGTGGCGGTGGGTTCCATGATTGTGGTAGACATATCAGACACCGCCAGCGGGGTAGCAGAAGTGGTGTCGGTGGTCACCGTGGAGAGCGAGTCCCCGACCAGACGCAGGTTCCCCTCCACCTGTACGCTCGGATCATTTTCTGCTGCTAGTTTGAGCACCTGGAGACCGTTGTAATAGAGCCCTGAAATCTGGCCCTGGAAGGGCCGGCCCCTGTCAGAACCACCAATCTTAATAGCTGCCTGGCTGTTAAAGATGGTCAGCTGTCTCCCTAAAGTTAGAAAGAGACACGGAGAACAGAACAGATGGAAAAGGGGAGAGAATGGTAGAGTGAACATACAAAAGTCATATGGAGAGCTTGCACAGGAACATCATTTGAGCCAGGTGGGCTTTAGTGATTATAACATTAATAATTAGTCAATTTAAAACTTGAATTATATGTTAACTTTAAAAGGGGACAGTTAGTTAGCATCAAGTTTATAATTTAGACTTTACACATGCAAGTTGCAACCATGAAAAAAGGCTTAAAATTCTATTTAGGAGCCTATTTAAGTGTTTTAATAGGACAAAGAAAGCATTTTGAACTGAGTTAGCAAACTGTCTGCAGGGACACATGACAGATGTTTTTCCAGGATACATATTTATCTCTTAACTCCAGAATAGATGGTGCAGTGATGCATATCGTATGACTTGTTTTTCCAGAGATGGATGAATTATTAAAATTGCAGTCTTACTGTACTACAGATTGTGAAAGGTAAATGACAGTATAAGCTAAATACCCCCCCCCCCCCCCCCCCAGCCATTAGGCCAATGAAACATGCTCTGATCCGAGTTCCCCCAGTCCAATTGTTTCACCCCCGGAAAGGAGCAATGATATCTAACAGCGCCACTAGTCAGCAGCTTCACTGATAAGCAGCGTTAGATCAGAGAAGGGGGACGGCAGTTAATGGGACTGTCCCAGGAGAATACTTATCAAAGTTAATGACTGCAAACACTGATCTCCTTTAACAGACTGTCAAAGCTCTTTTGTCACAGCAAAAATCTTCAGTTTAGAAATCTAACATGGTCATACAAACTGATATAGTGAACATGAAAAGAACTTCATTGGATGTGAACACATCTGGCATTTATGGTTTAAAAAGTAAGGGGGAGCAAGATTTGGTCAACTTATGTCATGTTAGTTTCACTGGTATTACTGTAAATATTATCCAGCATTTTACTGATTTTATGTAATATAATTACACACAGCATCTAATTACACACAGTGGTTAAGACGGACGATAAAGAGTTAGACAGGAGTTAAGTGCTTTTAGTTATGTGGTTTAAAATGTTTGTTAAGGTGCAGCTTTTCCACAAGGTATAAGGATGACAAAGAGTAAATGGCATGCATGCTATACACCTTTGCTTTGACACAAATTTTGAGAGTTCCACTTGAAGCTCCGTTGTGGACGTCACAACTTATAGCCAAAAAATAAATTCCAATTAAAATGGAGGTACAACTTGATCCTTGTCACCCTTGTCCTCTGGTACTGCACCTCTCATAGGGAAAGCTTATTTAGTGGTTATTTCAAGGATTAATTAATTAATCAATTAATTTTTACCTTTATCGAGTAGCCACTCGTCAACTACCCGACCAAGTCTGTATGGGATTCTTTGTCTAGCAATAGCCAGTCGTTCATTATCATAGTGTCCTTCAAAGAATTTGGAGAGACAGGTTAAAGGTTAAAGTCTGCAAGCTGAAAGATCACATGGTTAGAAACAGTGTTATAATGGCTAACAGGTTTAACAAGTTATCAATTTTAACCCAGTTGTGAGTTAAAAGAAACTTGTGCTTTACTTAGTGTTATCTAGTTATTACGAGTAACAGTGTTAATGCTAATTAGAGTAATGTTTAGGCTATTTATAATGTGCTACACTAGTTAGTGTTATTTAGCTAATTTTTTAAGCAAAACAATCTTCAGTAAATATCATTTACAGTAAAATGTAATTTTAGGTACTGTTTAAAACAGAGGTAAAATCAGTTCAACACAAAAAGGAATTAAAATCAGCTGCTTCAACAAATACAATGAGGAAAAAGGTTGTTGCATATAGATAGTAAAGTACATTCTGTAGTTACTGGCCTTAGAATATGCCTGGAGTCATTACAGAGAGCCAAAGTCTCACCCCAGTTCTGCTCTTTGCCTTTATAGCACACTTCCTGATATGATGTGTTTTTACTGCAGCTCCCTACATGAAAGATTTGTGGGAGCTGCTCCTAACTGGGACAGGACTTTAGCTCTTTGACACATGCAAACACAGAACAGTAATTAATCCAATCAAAATGACTACAGTAAATACATGATGCACACTGTGTGTCAATGGTATGAATCTCTAGTCTTTGGAAGGGCCCAGTTAATATTTGTGCCATAAATACAGTCTAGTACTGATCTAGCACTGAAGACTTTCTATCAATCATCACCCACGAGGTTTCTACAAGGTTCTGACCTTACAACTCGTAAATTCTTGTTGCCATTATTCATAAATCACTGCATGTGCAGAGCACCTTGTTCCGTGTAGACTTTGCTACAAACAGGTTTTCTGAAAACATGTTTAACCCCCAAATTCTGAATAAAAATGTAAATAAGAATTTAAATTCATCCATGTTGTTGGACACAAGTGGATAAAAAGGATTTGGAATTACAGTGCAGCACTGAAAAGGAGGCGCAGTAAATGACAGTGCTGGGCAGTTACAGTGAAGCTTACCTACATAAAGTTTTTACTGTAACCTCAATTACACAGCAGGTAACAATGTGAGGCTGCACATTTATTGGGTCTTTGTAGAGCTTCAGGTAGTGGCCCTGTAGTTTTGCCTTAGGAAAACATGAAGACGTCATATATTATTCCTGTTGTTTGATGTCCATTTAAAACCAAAAAAAGATCAGTGTCTTATGCCCCTCATGGCACGTGCAATATACACTGTGCTTTAGCCATTTATCATTACAGATGTTTCAAAAATCACTGATCACAGTGTGGGAGCTCACAAAGAGTGTACACAGTACACACATGGCCATCACAATTACATGATTTGATTTATGTGCAATTGTGGTGTGTGTGTTGTGTGCTTTGAGCACCAGCTGGAGGCAGAGAATGGACCTCCATCTATGCCAGCTTGTGCACCTGTTCAGAATAAGGTTAACTGGTTGGTTCAGAACAGGTAAAAGCAAAACTACATTATGCATGGGTCCTTTTTTTTTTAGACTACAGTATATGGTTATATGTATGTGTGCACAGAATGATGAGCGTTAAACCTTTCAAGCAGTGAAAATCTGTCTCAATAAATTATTTATCTTTCTATGCCTATGTACAGTATTGTATGTGGCACCATCTCTAAGTTACCTGGACACCAAACATGGCTGACAGAACAGAGTTTGCATTTATCTAAATCCATCAGTGTGTTGAAGTGAAAAGATGCCCTCTACATGCAGTTGCTAGTGTTCACCAGTGGTCAGATGAATGTAAATTTATGCACCATCACTACAAAATTATATATGTCAACAAGAATTTATCAGCTGAATTAATAGCAGCATATTCACTCTGGTTAGTCAACACAGAGGTTGGTACATTAACTAGAAATAAATAAATATCGTATTAGGCTTATACTGTATTAAATAGTCTTTTGGAAACATCTAGAAAATCCCTCTTGGCTCACATATGCACAACCTAACTAACCCTAATCCCTAATGTATGCATCAAAAGCCAATTTAAGAGGAAATATGATTAAAAAAAGTTCTCCCCTGTTACATCCTCGCCCACTCAATATGAAGCCAATATGAATTAGAAAAAAAATCTTTCTTTGTTAGAAATACTTTGCAGCTTGAGGCAAATGTATCAGTTTCAGATAACTGTATTGTCTGTGCAGTTTTATGTGTGTCAACTTAAAAGAGCAAATAAAAAATCAGATGGGGCTGTATGCCAAGTGGCCACCATCTAGCCACTGGGTATTCTGCCAAACATTTGTTTGCAAACAACACATTTTGCAACCACACATTCAAAGGTTTATGGTTAAAAGGCAGACATGCAATCATCTCTCTCCAATCCAGATGCTCCATGCCATCTCTGTGTGTATCATATAACCACATAGTTTGTCCCATGAGTCTTACCTGGTGGATAACGCTCAATCACTGGATGGTTGTCCACCTGCAGAGTGGCATTGCCACCGCTGCGTGTGAAGCGTACAACATGGTACTTGCCGTCATTGACTATGACAGCACGCTCATCGATGGTGATATCATCTGTCCCCACATTGAAGATGACACTGATTTTTCCTTGATCCTGCAGGTGAAAAGCAAAGAACGAACGTGACACACCAAACAAATCATGCTCATTTTAAATGCGTGCAAAATGAGCTTCCATCTACTTCAGGGATGTTGGGTCAGAATTTGTTTAAGTGGTAAAAGTGTATTTTTGGTGACATGGACAGCATGTTTAGGGATCGGCAGCACGCCCATTCAGCAGTCAACTCAGGTTTCCTGATGTGGATCATTCCTAACAGAATCCTGCTGCTTCTCTTTTGGCCGACCAACTTCTCTCCCTGTCAGTCTTTTCCTTTTACTGCCAACCTTCCTCAAAGGTTAAAGTTGCTTCTCAACACAGCCTTTGGGTGGCACTAATAAGAAAACTGGAAACAAACATTGTGGGGTCTCTATGTCTGCTTGGCCTTTGTACATTTGCCGCCTTCTTTCTAAATGCAACTCAAGATCAAAGTAACTAATGTGGTTTAAGGGACACTGTGATAAACAGTACACAACTCTGCAGCTGTACACAGAGAAGCACGATGTTGCACTTTACTTTTAGATTCCAGTAACTTTTGATACTGTGATGTAAATATAAATAACATAAAGATCCTACAGTGTGGCTGCCAAGTCATTCTTTACAACAGGAAACACAAAACATTTGGTCATAATTGCTTATTTATTTAACTGACAGTCAAGTGATTGTGCGCTGAGGACCTAGTGTCTCACATGCACAAGAGAATGTTGCGCATTCAGGCAAAACTTCATTACCATTATATAATAATAATAAAATAAATTCATTTTAGGTTATGTACATAATTTATCCTCATATCATTTGTCTTTCAGCTGTGTACTATCAAGGACCAAGAGTGTGTAGGTGTGTACTCAAACAACCTTGACTCCGGCAGTTGGTTGCACTATGGTACTTAACCAGAGAGGGGAGAGGATGTGAAATTGACTGGTGTGGTATTTTAGTAAAATGAAATTCTGCAGACTGCTGGTCCTACATGGTACATGATGTGCACAGTATCTACTGACCTTATAGGGGTGATGTTAATGTCTTCCACAGCGGGCCATGCATTGTATATGCACAAACATTACTGACTGAAAAACCAGAAATGTGTATACAGAGCTACTTCTTTTCCTGACTTTGTGGTGCCTGCTTTGCCTCACAGCTTTGCCCTCACCCTTTAATCATATGTAATCATGTAATGTGTAATATGTAATCATATGTAAAACCCTTCTAGAAATATTTTAAATTTGAATGCTGACATGGCTGGTGTCCAATACAGAAGTGTGTGTTCAAAGACCTTGAATGTCTCATTATCAATGTAGACTCAGTTGACATTTTATTAGGTACGCCTAATGAAAACTAATGCAGTCTAATCCAAATGGTCCTGCAATAAAAAAATCCCTCTTTCATGAAAGTGATAAGTTCCAGTTTTTGTTCAAACTGTGTAAGAGAGGTGCTGATTCAACGTGATGATCATTGCTGAAGTTTGTGCTGCTTTTGAACTGTACTGCATTACTTATTCTTATTTATCCTAGCCTCACTTTTATGGCGGTAGAATTTACTTTAGCTGCTAGGTGTACCTAATAAACTGTCAATACAGTATAGTTTTAAGCTTGAAAAATCAACATTACTTTGTGTAAAGGAGCTCTATCTCCAAACACAGCCTTCATGTTGAAGGTCAGCAGCAGGTCTTTGGCTCTTTGGACTGTAACCTTTCTCAATTCTGAACCAAGGAGGAGGCAACTAGAGCCACTGATTTATGATGCACGATTTACAACTGGATAATTAAATTCACACTGGTGAAAAAGAAGATGAAACCCCTTTATGACAAGTATCCACTCTCAGTTACTCTACTATGCTACTATGAACCTTGAGTTAATTAAAGCCACTGCCACTCTAGGTTAGTGGGAATCAGCAGAATGGTAGACCTTACTGTTAAAGAACTATTTAGTCAGGTGTAATTACACAAAAGTATGTAAAGAAACCACATTTATCACCTCTTTATATACATAATTTATATTCCCTAAATTGTAAGAAATCTCTCGAATTCCTTGTTCACGTTTATTATGTACAAGCAAAGCTATTCAGTTGTCCAGGGTTTAATTACTCATCCCAAAAAATCTAACTAATGAGTAATTATTAGGCAACTACAGGATAGTGTGGCCTCAGGCCAAATTCAGCCCGTTTCCTCTCGACAACATCTCCAGGGTGGGAAAGTCTGCTGGGGGCTTCACAAAAGAGCTACTTGTATTTTGCTTTGTCTTAGAACACAATTATAAAACAGCCCCAAAGTTCCAGCTGGCAAAGCAACACTACTACTCCTCAGTTTTAGAAGACAAAAGGTTGGCCTTTCCAGTTGATTTTCTCCTTTTTACAAGAGGCTACTTACTGTATATCCATGTGCTTGTGTATAAAGCTAGACAGGCTCATAAACAGTCTCCCACCTACTAGCTCTTTTGACATCAACTGCTGGAGAAAGCATATATCCTTGAAGTACTCTCTGCTCCCACTGGAGCTTTCTGTGTGGAATCTCACTTCTCATCTGAGCTGCAGCCTAATCTAATTCACTGGAGAGGAAAAGGATAGATTATTAAAAGGATATATTATTATAAGGATTTATCTTTGATGAGATGAAAGGGAAAACCCAAAAGGGCTGTGGCAGTGACCGATCTTCTCTGATGAGACACCACTGCCACCTGATACATTTTTAAACAGAGTACAGGCTGCGCAGATCATGATTCTTTTAAGAAGACCGGTATATCTGTCTGTCTCAGTTTGTTACCAGCCAAGTCTTTATCTGTATTGGATACATACTGTATCTCTCCACTCTTTACCGAAGGCTTCTCCTCAGAGACAAGTGTGCATCAGTTTTATTGGGAATTCAGAGGTTTCCTTTCCCATAGAAATAACAAAGTATCTTCCCTCCTCATCATACTCGGCACAGTTAGAGGTGTGCATGGTGAACATAAAAGGGAATGTATTAAATGAAACCAATTGTAGTTGAGTGTGAAACAAGCTTCTATTATTTTCTTTTTAAAGGAGATTACTGGATAAAAATAACTGATAACTATAAATAATAAAACAGTTTCAAACTGCTCCATAAACTGTTGTGGGAGCTGTTTTCTAATTGCTTTGAACACATTTCCCAAATGATCCAAACACCTATTTTCTCTAAAATGAGTTTTACCTGAAAATATCTAAAATCTAAAATGTAATTATTACTGTGACATTTATTTCAGCAGCAAGGTCTATTGGGAAAACTTTAAAAAGAATTAAATGTTCTTTATTATTTAGATTGTATATATTGTAATAATGTCCTAAGCACACGTGCATTATCAAAAGTGTACCTCACTTATCTATCATATATCCGAAATGAAAAATCCAAACATGTATGGAACATGTGGATTAACATGCTAAGATGGTGGGTTGAACTCTGCCTTTGATGGCGCCTTCCTAAAATATCCACAGTTTAGTGTGAAGTGTTTCAGTAGAACGTGTTATGGTAGCCCCCCTCACCAGGAGGGCGAGAGAGGACTGAGGTTGGACTCAAGTTTGCAGACCCAGGTGCTAGGGGGAAAAACATGACGGTAACAGGTAAATAAAAAGAACACAAAGTATCAAAAGAACATAACATGGGAACGTACGGTCTGCATATAGGGTAGTGTAGCGCATATGTAGTGTGGTAGAGTCAAGCCAAAACGCACAGTGTCTGTCAGCGTAGCATTCTACCCCAATCTAGGTTGCGCAGTACATAGCTAATGTTCCGGCCCTGATGGAGCGTCTGCCAGAGGTATAAGTAAGGAGCAGGTAATCCTCGGGATGCACCCCAGCTGTGCGCCTCAACAAACCAGTCACTAATTACTGGAATGCAACACAGCTGAGGTGCAGAGCCCACAGGACAGAGAGAGCAGAGGAGAGAAAGACCGCCGAGCGGCCCTGACAGAATGAGGCAGAACATTTATTGAGAAAGACTTTTCTCATACAGTAAATATGGCATCTCCCAGTCTGTTCCCTTGTAACTCATCATTATACACTTCAATTCAAGATTCATTCATTATGAGCTTGCTCCTAAAAAGTTCCTCACTAACACCGCATGTTTTCGTGTTCTGTATTGTAAAGTATTAGTCTTTTCTATTCAGAAGTCAGCTTGTTTGAGCAATTGCCCATTTGAGTCATGATCAAAATCAGCTAAAGAGAAGTGCCAATCTAGACCAGTTCTCCCATAGTAGCGCTGCTTCTTCAACGGTTTTAATTTTTATTATTTTGCACAATTAATCTTCTGTTTTCATTTTATCTTTTAGTCACTGATTAACAACATGACCATTTGAAAGCAGCATTAGCCTCTTCAGCATACTCTCCAGTGAATATGGTGGTTGTTTCTTTTGTACAGAATTACTGGTTTTTGGAGCTTCTCTATACAAGTAAGTAATGTTTATTTTGTTGTGTATGAAATTATCTGATTGGAAATAGCTGTTATAACAAAGTGGTGACAATCAGATGCTACATTTGCAACAATCACATCTAATAGATCTGTTAGAGGTACTGTTGGCAATTCATTTCAGAAGCAATGAATACATTAAATGCCCTACATACATTAAAGAAGTGCAAGATGTAAAACCAGAATTAACACTGGTGTGGCTTTTGAACAATGCTGTTTCTGCTGGACAGGTAATTATTGGTTTTGTTTTGTTTGGGGGCAGTGTATTTTCTTGAAATCTTTAGGTAGTAGTCAGCAGTGTGTGCTGTATTTTGGAGTGGCAGCTTTGGAGAGACGTCAGAACCAAAGGGTGGGATTTTTTTCGGTTGGCTACTTTCAAATCTGAGCTTCCTCTTGCTGGTTTTCCCAGGAATGACAACCCCATCTTTAATCAAGATTTTTTTCAAACACAATGAAAATGTTGCAGTCATTCCAGGCACCTACTGTTATTACGACCCCTTTATTTCATACTTTGCTGTTCATCATATTGCAGTTTTGAATAAACCGTGTGATATCCAAAAAAGATTATAAGTGAGGTCTGAAAACCGCAAATCCCTGTAGTACATATAACTCATACATCATTTGTTTCCTTTACTATTTTTGAACACTCCCCTGTGGCCAGTATTATTTTGATCAGTGTACTGCTTCTCTCTGTTTTCACCTAGTTTTCATAGTCTTCCTCATCTTCAATGGCCATGCAGAAGAAGGGGACAAAGTGTGATAAATGGAGGATTAATAATATACATAAATAATTTACAACAAACAACAAGTTATGTTTCTGTAAAATATAAGGTGCAATGTTACAAAGCTCGGTTGGAGAAAGCAAAAAGACAACCTCAACACCCTCTGAGCTCTTTGAGTCCCCTCTGCTGAGCTGTAATAAGGTGTCAAAGTAAGCAATCTGTCAGGTTGCAAGGACTTGGCAGATGCTAGAAAAAAAAAAAAAATCAGTCGGCTCGCCATGCAGGCAACAGTCTTTGCATTCACTTAGCAACAGTCAGTGGCTGGCAAGGTCAGTTTCACGCTTTTAAAACTGGAAATGCAATTGAAATGAGACAGCATAAAAATGTCCAGGGGTGGATTTTTCTAGCAAACACGTCTAGAGACTGATAGGTACAGCAGTTACACTCTCAAAACAGACACGGTATTTTGTTCAAATACAGTAAGTTCTCGATGACTCCTACACAACACCACGGTTTTAAATACCTTTTAGATATTAGCTTCTGCTCAGTCTATGGACTGGAATGGACTGGAAGACACTATAAATGATAAGAAGTCAGCTTTCAATCGTTAAAATAACTACAATAGGATGAATGGTTTTCCTCTTCTCCCATGTTTCCATGTATTGTACTTGCACAACTTTTTATATTTAATACCCTGAATGCTCTTACTAGGTTACTAGATTTACCAAAAATACATTTAGAGCTTGTTTTCTTTTTAAGAGGTTTTCAAACCATTTAGTGTCGGTTCAAAACAATTTATGAAATTAATATAATATTCAAGATCAGGCTTTGTGTGCTAATAAGTTGTGCTTTTTGTCCTGTGTTTTCACAACAGGTGTGATTTTAATTAGCACACCACTCGCAGACGTTTTCATCATAGCACATCTGCCCGACGGCTACATGCTAAAAAAGACTGATTTCCCTTTAGAAAAGACCCAGGTGCTGGCAGCTGCTGAGGAGTCCCCCGGTACCAGCAACAGATACATGTGTTTATCAGCAGTAAATATTTCTTACTCTGCTGACTATGCTCTATTGTAGCTTCTTCCTGAGGTCATAATTTACTTGATCCAATTTTATGTCAAGATTTGAACTCGGATGACATTAATCTTTGAATCACACAAGCTGTGACAAATAGCCTGATGTTAGAATAACCGTGCAGCAAAGTTAAAACTTTATTTTAAAAGTAAGATTTATTTGAGTCTTTTTTGTTTTTAATTTCATTTAAGTAGTAGTACACAATTATTTACCAGCAATGTCTTTGATAAATCTTTGGATAAATTCTGTCACCGTTACATTTTTCTCCCCTTCTCAGGGATATTTATATCTACTTGCTGTGGCTACTATATTCCTCCAATTGCTACTGGAAATGCTTGTATGACACTCTAGTCTCAGGTGTACTTTCCCGACGAGCTCCAGAGTCATCCTGATATCATTTGAAGATGTGCCTTTTTTGATGGTGTACTCTTTTTTCATCTTATTACTTGCTCTCTCATTTCCTACATAATCAAAACTTTATCGTGTTTTTACAGACAGAGTGGACAATTTCCACTTTTCCAATTAGCTGCCCTCTTCACATTGTCATAATTTTCATTAAAGATCTAAGGATTTTGTGTGTGTGTGTGTGTGTTCTTGTTTTTAATAGACAGTGCCTTTATAATCATAAATACATTATAATTCATCGTTAGGTCCATACTCAGAGTAAAACATTAAATAACACATAAGGAATGACCTTAAATCCTATCAAGGACAATTTGTGACTTATTCTACAGTTTGCTCTTGTCTTGTTGATAAATCTAAAGAAAACTTTTTTGAAAGGTAAAATCTGGAAATCACAAAAGGAATGTGCACAAATATTCATAGCATTACCTTAGATCATATAAACAACATATTTGAGCTTTAATCCCCTTTAAGTATTTTTCAACCATCGCAGCAGCGTGATAAACCGCCTGTCTTCTGGTGCTTTGTGACATTTATGCTTTAAGCCCCAAAATCTGTTTCCCATCCTTACTATGTGTAGTTGAAGATAGTCTCCGAGCCCATGGGTGCTCTCCACTCGCACCAAGATAGCATCCTTCTGCTGAGTGCTAAAGCCCACAGCTAACCGGTCAGCTCGGGTGCTCGGCCGCTCATTGGGAGCCCAGGTGAATGTGATGAGAGCCCCTCCTTTTCCAAAAATATATGTGGTCCCAGCTGAAAACAGTGACAGAAAGGGGAACAGAAAGAAACAAACAGCGGTCAGTTGTTACAGAGTATCTTCTCTCAGAAGAACACCAGCAGTATTTACAGTAACGGTGCTTTATTCCGGTGTCTATCTGACTAAACCTGGATTAGCCTGTACTCTTGTTAAAAGGATCAGTTGCTGTTCAGTTGGAGATACAGTCGTTTTCATGGACAACTACCATACCCAGTTTGAAAATGAGTCTTTGATTGCACCTCTCATCTGTCCACAGCCCCTCCACCGCACTGCACTTTCATTTTTTCAAAACTACACAGTAGATAGAAAGAAGGAAGAAGTGTTTATTAAAGAAGTCTGCCTCACTCTTAAATCACAGCAACCAAATTTACAAAGCATGATGAAACATTATATTCCCAGATGTTAACTAATGGCAACACATGTTCTCCACATAGCTCTCTGGATCACCAAGGGTGCATTCAACACTGTGGACAGCCAAAATGTGCACCTCAGGTTGGCATAGCTTCGCTCTACAGTGAGCTCACACATATAGTAAAACAGCACATAATCCAGGATGTCTACAGCTATGCGTGCGTGTGCATTTTACACAGATTTTCACATTATTCATCATGCACAGCACCAAAGGTTTTCTTGCCTGGTCAGTGAGCATGTAAGCCTCTTGAAGGTTATGTCATCCAAAATCAGGATGAGGTACTTGAGTTTTTTGTGATGTATCATTTACCACCAATCATTCGTGTAGTCTTTTCATCTAATACTTCATCTCTCTGTCAAACATCATCTATGTACATATATCACCTTCTCACACTATTTTGTACATATGCTTTATATTTATGAGGGTGCCCAGACTTGTTTACATATTTTGACCTTGTACTCTTGTTGCTGCTGATACACATGCTAGTCTGGGTATTCTCTTTGAAAATGTTTTATACCCCCCCCCTTTTTTTTTTACAGTCCTTCTGATTTAGCCAAATATGCAAAAATAATATTAGCATTTACTGACTAATTCAATACAATATGAAGAAGTTAATGAGCATTTATTAAAACATGATTAAAATTCATCCACCTGCTCATACAGTTTCCTAGCAGGTGCTTAAACTTTTATGATTCAAGTTATTCATCTCCTCTCAGAAACATTTCTTTCTCCTTGAGATGAATGAGGCATAATTGTATTCATTTATAATTGACAAGTGTTATTAGAGTTTCTGAGATATTTGAGAAAATCCACACAGCCATGTGCTGAAATCTATTTGATGATTTGTAGGTAAATCAGACACCTCTTCATGATATTATATGATTTATTCCTAACCTTGCAGACAACAGAGATAGTTCATTAAATATACATTTTCACATTTTTTCTCATTTCATTTGAGTGAAGAAATCAAGAACAGCACTACAGTCCATTTCATATAGTCCATGCAAATGTGAAATGAGTTAAATTGAAGTAAAATCTAAGATTAAGTCTGAGTTTTCTCAGGGGGACAGTGTTCTTTTTGATGATTTAGGATTGCAGGTGCTGAGTGTAAATAGACATAATGTCATAAAGAGAGTACAACAGAAATTATAATTATCTTTGATGGTACAGCACAAATATATTCTGGTCTTGTTTAACACCTGACACTTGAAGTATTGTTTTTACAACTACCTGAATGTCTTGTGAAGCACAGGAAAATGCATGAGACCAACTTGTAGCCTCAATTTCAGTCATGTGCGAAGACTTGAGTACTCTTAATGGGCACTCAGCACAAAGGTTTCTTACTGACAGGGATTAACTGCTAGGTGAATGTTTTCTTAACACTGAACACTTACTCCAAAGCTTCAAAACACCTTGTTCTGACTGAATTTAATTACAGTGCAGGTTCTCTGACAGTGTTTGTTTCAAACCAAACGGGTTCTTAATCTTAATTAATGTAAGGGAAATGACTCACTCACATTTGACACAGTGTCACCGAGTTATTAGTTTTTTTTCCATCCAGTGAACGTTATCTACATTTAGCCTCTTGTCAGTCCTCACGTCTGCTCGGTGAAATCACTTTAATTTCTGGTGCATTTATTTTTACACATTTACTTACTACTTTTGTGCAGTACAGACTATACTCATACACAATTTGCACAATGTCATCATAATCAAAAAAATTTAAATACAACACCTCTGCACCAAATATTACTACAATTACCTTTGTGCATATCATATAATGTTCCAAATGGCACAATCCAATCCAATAAAATGTTAACAATCCCAACAAACATCACACTTTACATCAGTTCTGTTTGTTGAAGGGGATAACATGATGCAATATAGCACTGAATACCAATTTGAAAGGATACATTTTATATGCATTTGGTAGATCAATACACACATTACACTTGGGAATGTGGTAAGAAAAGCATTTTGACATTAAATAAAACTATTTAAAAAGCAGCTTTCAGCAAAAGAATGTGCATTTGAGTTATTAAATATGGAAAACTAATCAGTACACTCCTTGTCTTTAATATTTGTTTATTCACCTTTTTTTCTTTTCTTTTCACCCTCCCTGACGCCATCCATCCATCCATCCCACACATTATAAGGGCTAATGGAAAAGATCCTGACTTTTAATGACTAAGGGCCAAGTACAAGATACTGGAGGTTGCAGGAAGAAAAGCCTCATTAAAACAGTTTAAAGTTTTTATGTAGTTATGTGGGATCAAGCCAAAGAGTGAATAAAGAGTAACATGCAATCCTGTAACGTGCACCAAAACACATGCAATACTAATGCACCTGCATGCTGGAAAACATGGAAGTATCTGTTTATAGATCGCAGTAACTCCAACAGGAGTGTTATGTTAAAGTATTTTATTACACCTTGCTGTCTCCCTGTTCTGTCTTCCCTTATTTCTTCTCTTTTCTCTGTGGTAGACCTGCATCAGATAAAGCAGGCAAGAAATCGAACTTGTTAAGATTATTAGTGTAAACCTTAGAATTCTAACCGTTGAAGCAGCTCTCCTCTCTCTGTCCAGTCTCATGGGAGTGCTCTGCTTGAATAGCAGGTATAGCAGAATGGTATGCAAAATACAGTACGTGCTGTATATCACATCATTATAAGTTGGAAGCCTCATAATTGTTGATACTGTACACAGGTAGTTTAATGCTCCTGGTGTCGTCCATTATACATGAATAGGCTATTATATCGTAGGTGTGATGGCACAGTCGGTATATATTCAGTTCTAAGCATAATAAAGCCCTTATGCTGGTTTAATACATTGCAGAAGTCAGCAGAATCATGGAGTGATATTATAGATTACTCTGCTTTTTACAGGCATGGAATGGGGTCAGTGAAGCTCCCAAAATTTCTATAACTTAACTATGATTGACCGTCATGTCTCAGTGGTTCTTTGCACACACACAAAAAGTAACCATATGGATTGTTTGTTTGTGCCAAGACGCAGTCCTACCCACTCAAACATCCTGTCCTTTTCATTTGTGGTCTCAGCCAGCTGAACACACAAGAGACGAGGCAACATGCTCATAGGACTTGCAAAATACACTGAGATGCTGGTGATAATTTGCAATTCGCATAACATTTTAGATATGAAAAGGCTTAAATGCTTCCCCTGAGCTTGCTGTCAGAGAGAACTAGAGAATTCATGTGGCGAGTGATTATTAGCTCTCATAATGTTACTAATCATGACTTTTAAGGCTGAAAACTATCACCATGAATCATTCCAAAGGCAACTAGGATCAACTGAAATATTATGAACACAAAGCAGTGGAACGTTGAATTGCTCATACAGTATTTGAACAGCCATTTAAACCCTTTGTGGAGAACCCCACTGACAACGAACAGTATATGTATATTTACTGTATTCACAGTGTGGCTGTTTTTCACAGTTAATAAATGTTTCTGAATGAACTGCCAGCTTCCAGAAGGACTAAATGACAAGTGTCCAAGTGCACAACCGTATACTGTATGATGTGGAGGCATTAGGTAAAGACAGCTTGTGTAGGGCAACAAGGGCACTAACAGGGAAAACAAAGCTGATTGATTAAAAAGATAAACTTGCATAAATCTCCAAACTGTGAGCAGTTTTTTTAGAAAGGGAGAGTTATGGGGAGAGATTAAGACTGAGTTTGTCATCTGACTGATGTCATCTGAGGCATACATCTTCCATGGTCTATTAAATACATCTCAGCGAAATGATGAAAATAAATAGTGCGGCCTAAAGCCTGATGGAGCAGCCATATGGTTTTCAAGTTAAAATATGGTGTTCAGGTTAGAACATGGCATCATATATATAGTACAGTGAAAACAGTCTTTTAGGAATCAAACAAATAAAATCAAGTGAATTTGAATTGATGATTGAAGGCCATATTGAAAACAACTTATTAATTTTATGAATTATAAATCTTAAATACTGCGCATGCAGACTTCAGCTGTGTTATGGCTGAACTGCTGTATCTGTTCCTATCAGCAAGATGTATCCAGGCTGTCAGTTCTCAAATTGAACGTCTGCAGCTCAGAGTGCCTCAAATGATCCCATTCTTCTATAATAATGTTAAGGTTTTCTCCCACTCTACTCTCAGATGATTTGGGTCACGGTGAAACTGTTTCAATTCAAAATGCAATTCTGGAATACTGCATCAACAATTCCTCCTAAAAGTTACAAAGGCCTGGTGCCTGGCTGCAGTACAGGTCATACTGTAAATCCTGCCTCCTCCATGTTAGTGGATGAGACATGAGCCACACTAAAAACTCAAAGTACAAATCAGATCAATTTTTCCCAGAGGCCACTTCTGTTGTTTTTGCTCACTATTATCATGCTAATGTGTGTATGAGTGGTGTGTATGAGTGGTCATTTTTCTGGTAAGTTATTTAATAATATAAAAGTGGTGTGTTTCAGTTGATCTTACACCTTTGATTGGTGGTCTGATGCTATCACTCCACTTTGAGTCGCTACTGTGCAGAATCTGGTTGCAGTTCTCATGATATTTTGGCTAGATTTTTGCATAGTCGGGGGA